AGGACAGATGAGCGGTGTGTTTGGAGAAGGGGGAAGGCCACTGAGAAGGCTCGAGTTGAAGAAGCAAAGCTGACGACAATGGCCATGGAGCATGATGCCCAATGGGCCTACGCTCATCAGAGACACTGCCGGCAGCTGCCGCAGCCCCAAGCTCACTGCAACCCCGCCCGCCGCCTGCGCCCTCTGCCTCCTCCCCTTCCAGAGGCCCCTGAAATAACGAGCGCCCGCAGGCAAGGGTGGACGGGCGCCCAGGATTAACCAGACGGAAGCCCTGAGAGAGCAGGCGGCTCGCCCACAGTCACAAGAGAACGGTGAACGAGAGCGATGTCACCGCCAGGCCTGCAGCAGTCAGGGGGCGGGTGAGGGGGGGGGGGGCTGAGGAGGTGCGGAAAGCTCCCTCCTCATGGTCATTACCACCAGGTTCTCACGGGGCCCATTTCATTAGTAATCAGGGTGAGGCAAAAGTAGGTTAACAGTTGTCCCTATGCAAAATATAGTCACGAATAAGTAATAATACAAGAATAAACGGGTTCCCGTACTCATAACTGTAAACCTACTTTTGCCCCACACTATACTACCTAAAACCTTTAGTACATGGACAGTAACAGAATTTTTATTTTAATGTGGTGGGGAAAGCTCAATGTAAAGACACCCATATAGTAATTTTTGCAGAATTTTCACTCTGAATCAACCATGTGTCTAGCCCCACCTCCCAGTTTAGAACAAATAAGCGGGGAGGGATTGTGGAACAGATCAAATACCACCACCAGGACACAGACAAATTCAGACCACAGAACACTGACAGACAGCTGGCCTGGATTCTTTAAAGGGGGGTGATATGGAGGGAAAAGATGGGGGCTGTTTATTATTGAGGCCAGAGAAATGCGACAAACAAACGCACCATATGAACTTGACTGGGTCCTGGTTCAGGGAGATGGAGAGACTAGCCTTAAAAGAGACGTTAGGGACAGCTTGGGAAGCTAAATATGGCTGCTAAATATCATCTGTGTTAGATGATATGGCAGAATGACCGTTGTAAGTGGCTATTACACAGGAGACCCTCAGTCTCAGGAGATTTTTAGGGTGAACTGGCATGTTGTCTGCAACTTTACTTGTAAGCAGCTCAAAAAAGTGCACATGCATCCCACATGAATTGCATGTACACCTCGATCTAAGCACTGCACCCCTCGATTCTCCTAAGTCTTATCACTAGTTAAGAGTTCAAAGCCCTGGGCTTGGGACCTTGAAGTATCCTGGAGCGGTCCCCTTACCTAGTGACACAACATAGACGGGCCCTCAGACCCAAGGAGGGGACGCTGCCTCCTCAGGGCAGATGACAGCACTGGATACAAGGGGAGCCTACAGCCTCTCCTTTTGCTGGGAGCTCAGTGATGCCTCGGAGAGGTGCCCGAAGCAAAAGGCTGGAGGTGACCCCCTAACAAAGAGCCTGCCACGCCTCAGGGAAGGTCAGGGTGGCAGGCGAGGGGCAGGTGCCCAAGGACCTCTTTCTCCCCCAGCTTTGCACTGACACCCAAGGTGTGGGGGGTGGGGAGGATGCACGCTGGCTCACAGCTCTGCCCTGATCTCTCAGGATTTTAAAGGCTTTGTACTAATTTCTGGAATAAATCCAAGGCGTGGCTGGGATTGACATCACAATCAAACAGAACTGGAGATGTTGAAACCTCACTCAAGGAAAACTCAATGAAGACTTAGTTGAAAGCCAAGTGCAGGTCAAGGTCAAAAAGGAGGAGGAGGAGGAGGAGGAGGAGGAAAAGGTGGGAGCAGAAGGTGAAAGAAGCAGGCCTGGCACAGACCGCCCACCTCCTGCAAGAAAAGCTCTGGGAAGCAGGAAAGCCACAGAATTCCACACCTGGGCTGGGGCCTGTGCCAGGGGACATGTGAGTGAAGGAAGGAGGGTCTGCAGCCCACGGTGCACCAGACACATTTTCTGTGGCCTCAGCCCAGCCCGTGGGAAACAGCCTCCGAAGGAGTGATGTGAACTCTGACAGCTGCAGTCGGAGCGCATGCTCAGGCTTGCAGAGGCACACTTCTGTCCCCTTCCTTCAGTATCCCTTCCAATTCTGAGTTTTTTATGGAATGAGACAGGTGTCTGAGAGCAGAGGGCCCCTCTTCACCGGGGTACCGGTGTGAAATGAGGAAGAGCGGTGGCCTGGCCACTGCCCGCAGTTCGGGATGCTTACACTTTCCTCCTCTGAGCTAGACCTGCAGCAGTCCTGGCTTCCTCAAAACAAGGGGCCCCCTCCTCACAAGCACAGACCATGGTTGGTCTCTAGGTCCCAGCACCGGCTGCATCCAGTGCAATCGAGTTACCTAGTACAGGTCAGGTGGTCAGCAAATAACAAAGAAGCATACAGAACGCACACACAATACTATAAACCGGAAATCTCAGAAAATTCATCTTAGAAAGCATGAAAGCTGAACATGAAAAACTTTTTCTCCTGCCGCTCTAAGCCTAAGTGCTGAACTGCCACACCAGCACCTCCCCCCACCCCACACACACACACACAAAAAATCAGCAACAACCATAAAACAAGCAAATGCACAGGCCATCTGCAATCCTATAACAGATGCTGGGAATGCACTCCGCTCTTGGTCAGTCAGCAGTTCCCTCCTGCACTGTCCCACCCTACCTAGCAATCCCTCGGCCCCAATTGCTTTGTCTGTTACTTGATCCTGTTGTGACCAGGAAGTAAATACTCAAGACTGTTAAAATGATCATTCACAGCCTGTGATAAGTGTCTATGTTAGCATTTAACAAAACAAAAAGGCTTTTCATATTATTTGTGCACTATTAACTCCCCAAACATATTCCAGGAAGTTTATAATCCATGAAAGCACAATAGGTCCATTAAAATAATGGCAAGAGCCTCCTCTCGTTTCCACAAAAGGAAACCGAGCTGGAGAAATCACTGCCCAGGCCCCTCTAACCTCTCATGCCTCTTATTCCCCTCCCTGGCGTATGAAGGAGAAGTCATCATTTGCCACACTTTGTAAACTACTGGTTTATACTGGAAACTGGAGGTTCTGACTGCCCATGGGATTACAGTTTATTATTAAAATATCCAACAACTTGATGTAACCAGCACTGGCAAGGTGGCTGATCATGCTGACCTTGGGTGAGTTGCACACCTTGCATATTACATCACAATATAAATATCTTCATTCCTTCTTGATATCAACCAACAATTCTCAACTACAGGCTCAGCCCAAATTTACAGACAGTTTCTGCTATAAAGCTCCTTGATGAGTTAGCTGTTTAGAAAAAAAATAAGTAAAAATTTCCCCAGAGAACCAATGCCCTATGTACCAAGTAAGGCTCCCGAGTTAGCCAACAAAAGCTTTTCAGTCTACTCTGGACTTGGAATACAGAACCTTAGATGCTGTATCAAAAGAATGAAAGCAGCCAAATTAACTACCTGGATTTGTTTTCTCCTGCCTCCTGGCACTAAGAAAATGAATCAAGTCCTCCCTGGAATGCCCAGAACACACTTCCTTCCTCTAGGTTAAGGATACCCTGACCCTCCTCTCTGCATCCCCTAAGGGCAACCTCCCTTCAGAGGTAAGGGATCTGCACAGGCAGGCAGTCCTGCAGGGCTGGGGTTTTGAGAACTCCAAGCACTGGCCAGCCCCACAGCCTTCAGACCACATGGCTCCCTTCCATCAGCAGACCTGCAAGGAGGCCGCCGTGTCCCTGGCCAGGCGCGTCCCTGCCCAGGCGTTGCCAGTGCCACCACCTGGACACCCTAACTGCTCCTGGGTCTCCCACAGGCTCAGGCTGCTGAGGGTTCTCATTGGAATACAGTCCATGACTCCTAGGCTGCCATTGTACTATTGCCCGCTCATTCCCCCAGAAGGCAAAGCAAAGCCCTTCCCCAGATCCCCTCTCCTGGAGCAAGAGACAGAAGAACTCAGAAGCTTACTCTCTATCCTTCCCCAGGACAGTCCTGTCCCTTCAGGCTCCACCCCGTGAGCAGAGCCTCCGGGTAGAGAAAGAGGCTGCAGTGTGAAGAGAGCAAAAGTGGGGGCAGGAGGAAACAGAGCGAGCCCGCAGGAGGCGGCAGGAGAGATGGGCTCTCTTCCGTCCTCACCAGCTCCTCGCCCATGGAAGCTGGGAGCAGGGAAGCAAAGGTGAACAATCAGAGCCCCGGCACCAAGGAAGGGAGCACGATTCAGCGGGGAAAGACACAGAAACAAAAAGGACACAAGTGGAATAAGAGCCACATTGGAAGAACGAACACAAGATGCATGTGTGGGAGTTCAGAGAGAACAAAGGAGGCTTCGAGGAATCAGGGTGCTTCAGCGAGGAGAGGAGCAAGCCAGACTGGAAGGATGAGCAGGGCGCATGGGTGCTGGGGCACACTGGGTGCTGGGGCACACTGGGTGCTGGGGCACACAAGCACAGCAGGGTGAAACAGCAGGTAGCTCAGGGAGGTCACCCCAAAGAGAGCCAGAGAAGGGGACATCAGGGATCAGAGCCATGGCTGGAAAGGCAGGGGACAGACAGAGCAAGGGAGAAGCTTCAAAAGCGGACACATCCTGGTTTTAAACAGGGAGTGGGGCTGCAGCCTGGCACCCTGAGGAAGATGCCAATGTTGGAAAGAAGGCTTAGGGGCTGGTGCACAGAGTGGAGCAAGGAGAGCAGCCCTTGGGGCATGGAACCTAACTGGGAGCCTAGTGGAACAGCCTGACTAAAGGAGTCTGACTAAAGGAGTGAGGCAGGACGGGCACTGGAGAGAGCGCTGGCCCGGCAGCGGGCGGGATGGAAGGAGCTGAGAGAGTCAGACTTTCCAGCGTGCACAGCCGGGGGGAAGGGGGTGCTATCCACCAAGAGAAGAAACACGGGGCAGGGTAGGTGGGGGCAGGGCTCATTACAACAGCACGCATCCCCAGTCAGTCCTTCTACGCTGCCTAGGTAAAGGGTGGTGTTCGATGCCTCCCTTACAGTGGCTTCAGGATCCCGTTTAGTACCCCAGTCTCACCTGCACCCAAACGTTGTCTGCAGCAGAGTTGTGATTCCCACACAGAAGAAAATGGTCCCAATGAGCTGGCTGGTGGCCCACTGGTCGTACCCGACACACATGGCGTCGGCGAGCAGAAAGGGCACCGCGATGGTGCCGCTGAAGCAGGTCAGGTAGTGCTGTGGTGACAGGGAGACAGAGGAAAGAGTGAACCCTCCCTCCTTATTTTCTGATTTCATCCTAACTCACCCTCCCCTCCCCAATGTTTTTTGTTTAAAGGAGCTCTTTGGTTTGTTCAGGAACACACGAATATCATATACCAAATAACTTCTTTTTCAGTATTTCTCCTTTCCATTACCTTTCCATTATACTTGTATTATTACTTATTACTCACATGAGTCCAGGTCAGCATAAAGGAAGCACTTAATACAATCATACTGTACTCATGCAATTCTTACCGGAATTACCTGTGTTTTTTTTTCAAATGCTTTTCAGTATTAATTGCTAAAACCATAGGTCTTTCTCCTTTGATCTGTTCACATTAATTATTTTGCATGGAACCATTCTTGAAACAAACTCGAAGTCTTGCTATATCTTTCTTCTGCAGTTTGATTCGCCAATATTTTATGTAGAATTCTACAACTGTATTCTTGAAATAATGGGTCTGGGGGTTAAAGCTTCCTTACACGGGGTGTTCCCACCCTTTTCTATGGTGGCATTGTTTGACAGCAATCAGGGAAGGGTTAAGGTCGTACAGGAGCTGAGGAATGTTCCACAAAGAGCCAGCTCACTCTCCTTTGGGGGCCCACCTCCACTCCTAGGAGGATATTCCTAGCAGCCATGCTCACTTCCCTTCCTCCAGGGGCCTGCTTGTTCAGTGCCTGCTTCTTTCTGTTCGGCAAACCCAATTTTATTCCCAATAGTTCCCCATCTCTGCTCCTGTTTGCCAAACTGTGTTGCTTGCAGCCCACAAAGCCCAAATTTCGTAACACTAATAGGAGTTTCGTGCACAAAACAGAACATCACCATCCAGGACTTCTCAGGGATGCTCACAAGCTTAAGAACACTGTGCATCGTCAAGAAGGGCATGATGCATGCAGGGTTCCCTAACCCATTTGACCAGGAAGCACTTCGAAAAAACAACTATAGAATATAAACATTTTAAAAAGCAAGTCTCCTCAATCTGTTTCGGGATGTCCAACCCAAGGAAAATCATCTACATGAGCACTCAGCTCCTTGGGTCATGACTTCTCCTTTAGTAGACACCTTTCAGGTCAGGTGACCAAGTGCTGTGATACCTAAAGGGGGCCGGGAAGGCTGGAAACCCGGACCAAAGCATCAGCTGTCGGGGCAGGTACAGCCTCACCTCCAAGTGCATAAACCTGTCTGGCAATGAGACTGACTTTCTCAGCATCTGAAATACCCCAGATTAAACTGATCATTCAAACTTAAAAAAAATGAAAAGAACTTAAAAAAACTTAAAAAAGAATGGAAAGTCAGACCTGAGAACAGAGTCAGGCTATGCTAGAAGCTATCCATTGTCTGCACTATCAGAAAAGTGCAAATAAGGAACCCAGAAGGCTGATGGACCTTAAGCTTTGGCAAGGGCTAAAGCTATGCACCGACTGTTCTGTCCAGACAATGGTGGCTCAAGCAATTTCCTGACCTAAGAATCTCAAAGTAAATCTTTACTAATATTCACTGACCATTAAGGTAGTTTGTCTACTACCAGAATGCCTGCCTGACTAAAGGCAAGATGTATATCTAAAACTGAATAAAAAGCTAAAAGGGCATGGGCACCAATGAAGCCTCTCCACTAGAGAATGGCTTTCTGCCTGGCCCCTGTGATTTCCAAATTCATATTTCTTGTCTAGTCTCATCATTTATGCACAGCCCTTCTCCAGGTCCTGAACCCTAGCTGTGCAGGTCTCGGCTTTCACACGGCTAAAACAGCCAAGGGAAACCCAGGCCAGGCGTGTGAATCCTAGAAAAGAGCTTCCTGTCTTGTTCCCTTTCTCTGAAGCACCACTTCAGTCCGTAAGTGGGAAGAGGGTGCTGAGAGATGAGGGAAAGCACCAAAGACGAGGAACCCTGCAGAGGAGCCCAGCCCCTGTCCCACTCCCTCCCCTGGCAGTGTCCCTGCTCTGCTCCCACTGGAAGCCGCAGCAGACAAAGCAGCTGCTTCTGTGGCAAAGTTTGCCTTCCTTTAAAAAGACTGAAACATGGCATTTTTCAGTGTTGCCCATGTTTCATGGCAGAACTGACTATGACTATGGGTTGGTTAAGTAAGCCAGGAATGAGAGATGAAAACTAGTTCTTTTCTCTTCCACTTTTTTCTCCCTCTGCTCCTCCTTCTTTCTATATCTGTACAATTTTCTGTCCTTCCTTCCATGTCACTTCCTTTCCTTATTCCCTGAATGTTTTCCTTCCTTTTTTCTGTTTAACCTCTTCCTCCTGTTCTTTTCTTCCTTTCAGTACTATAAACTGATGTTGACAATTTCCATTCATCATCTGAGAGAAATAATCTATACTAATAAAAGGGTAATATGCTCATTAGATCAGGTCAACCGGACATAATCTGATGTCTGACTTCTTTCCAGACAAAGCCATGGTGGCGGGGGCCGAGGCAGAGACGGTTAGGGGCAATCAGGCCATCAGGGGAGCAAGCAGTTAGGGGTGATCAGGCTGGCGGGGGAGCAAGGGGTTAGGGACACAATCAGGCCAGCAGGAGAGAGCAGTTAGGGGCAATCAGGCCAACAGGGGAGAGCAGTTAGGAGGTGATCAAGAAGAGAGGAAGGGAGGGAGGGAGGGAGGGAGGCAGGGAGGCAGGCAGGCAGGCAGGCAGGCAGTTAGGAGCCAGCAGTCATGGATTGTGAGAGGGATGTCCGAGGGATCCCAGGTGCAGGCCGAATTTGTTGTACCAGGCCTCTAGTCTTTCTATATAAAAGCTTAATATGCTAAGTGGTTGACCACTTGACCCAGTCGCTATAACGTGCACTGACCACCAGAGGGTAGACGGTCAACTGGTAGTTAGCTTGCTGCTGGGGTCTGGCCAATGGGGACTGGGTGAGACAGGCCGGAGACACCCTGGAGCCCTCCCACAATCCCTCCCCAGCCGGCCAACCTCCCACAGTCCCTCCCCAGCCAGCCAGTCCCTATCAGCCTCAATAAGGACTGGGTGAGATGGCCTGATCACTGGCCAAGTGGAGAGATCCCACCCATGCACAAATTTGTGCACTGGGCCTCTAGTTTATAATAAAGTCCTCAATAAATCAAAATCAAAACTGAATTTTTAAAAAAATCCAGACAGAGAACTCAAGCATCTGCTGGTGGTTACATCCTAAAGGAACCATCTTACCTGCAGCCCCAGAAATATGCACAGGTACCACGGAGGGACGTCTTCTATGGTGTAAATCATGTCCGATCTCTGGGGGTCTAGACTGCCAGTACTATCCAAGGTCTCGGCCAGAGAGCTCTGTGAGCAAGAGGGACAAAGAAGGTGTTTAATAAAAACAAGGACTGCCCTAGTTGGTTTGTCTCTCTCACATGGATGTTTCTCTCTGTCTCCCTCCCTTCCACTCTCAATAACTAACTAACTAAATAAATAAATAAATAAATAAATTTAAGGACTAACGTTAGCTCAGTTCAGTACAGGCTCACTACTAAAAAACAACTTTATAAAGTGGCTGCTTCCCCGTAAAATTAAGCCTTGGCTACCTTTGACACAATGCTCAAACACTCTTGCTCAGTGGGACACCCCATCTTCAGACTTTGGGGATTCGGTATACATTGCCATTGTCCCACCCCCTAGAGCAGTGGTTGGCAAACCAGGGCTCTGTTGACTAATGAGTTTTCCGACCACTGGACTAGACTAAATGTTACCGTGTAGCTGGAAGCTTTGAGGATTAGGCAATCATGGCATATTGTATGCGAAGAGGTAAAGGGTAGTATATGACAGTGGTCGGCAAACTCATTAATCAACAGAGTGGCAACTCACAAGCCGCATGAGGCTCGCGAGCCGCAGTTTGCTGACCACTGCCCTAGAGCATTCAGCTTGCTCAGAGCTTCTCCCTAGCCTAGAAACCACCTGCGTAGAGATGATGCTCCAAGGATGGGACTACAAAGTAATACCTGGACATGAGCAGTCCTTGGGGGGTGACCAGAATGAAGAAATAATATGCAATGCTAACGACTTTCAAACAGAGAGCATTAATCTGCTGTCCCACCCCACCCCATCGCTGCAAGGAGAAATTTTTGTACCTAAAAATAAAGTCCGATAGCCCTGTACAAAAACACTGCTACTCAGACACAATGGTGAGTGAAAAGAGCAAAATTCAGAAGTGTACAGATAAGTGACTCATATTTTACTTAAAATAACAGACTAAAAATGTATTTCTAGTGCAGGGGGCAATTTTCTTTCTTCTTCCCACCACTACTCAAGATTTTTTTTTTTTTAATGTTAAGTGTTGCATGCTTTTTGAGACAAAATCTTCACAAAGACCAGACACTTTAGGTTATAGCTTCATTCAGCAATTTTCAACTGCTGTGTCATAAGAAATTTTAAAACATGCGATATCTGACTATTGTGGGCACTAATCTCTTTTCCCTTAGACAGTCAAATAAAAAATGACAACAGCCACCAAAAGAGCCATCCAGTGTGAATGAATCAATATTATACCTATTTTTTTGTGTCACATTGGCAAATATATATTTTTTGGTATGGTGCTGAATTTTAGTAATTAGTTTATGTGTGCCATGAGATGAAAAAGTTTGAAAACCGCTGGTCTAGGTTATAGTCTAGACATTCCCAGTCAGCATCAACATCACTTCTTTTTCTTTTCAATTGAATTATTGGGCGACATATATATAAAAGCCCAAGCAACCAAACAACTGACTGACCGGTCCCCATGACACACAACAGTAGTCCTAGCTGGTGTGGCTCAGTTGGTTGGAGTGTTGTCCCATGCACCAAAGGTTCGAGGGTTTGATTCCCTGTCAAGGCACTTGCCTAGTTGCAGGTTCAATCCCCAGTCAGGGTGTGAACAGGAGGCAACCAATCAATGTTCCTCTCTCACACCAATGTTTCTCTCCCTTCCTCTCTCTTAAAAAAAAAAAAAAAAAAGACAATAAAAGAGGTATCAGAAACTAAAAACAAGATAGGTATCTTCCAAAAATAACAAAAAGACAAATATGAATAAGAAATTGTAATGGTTTTAAAAGTCAGAATACAACCAAGATAACAGAATATAAGAATTAATCAAAGAAATAAGAACATTTCCAATAAATAAAGGACATTTTTATAAATTAAAACACTCAAGTGAATTAATTAAAAAACAATTCAGATATCTTAAAAACTCAATAATCAACTGTAGCCCTAGCTGGTTTGGCTCAGTAGATAGAATGTTGACCTGCAGACTGAAGGGTCCCAGGTTCAATTCCAGTCAAGGGCATACCGAGTTGAGAGCTCAATCCCCAACAGGGGGCGTGGCGTGTAGGAGCCAGCCAATCAATAATTCTCTCATCATTGATGTTTCTATCTCTCTCCCTTTCCCTTCCTCTCTGAAATCAATAAAAATATTTTTAAAATTAATAATAATCAGTTGTACTAGGAAGATCTTAAAACAGAAATTAAAAAACAAACAGAAATAAAACAAATTGACAGAATTTGGATAAAAATTAAAAGACAAACAGAAATAAAACATAAATTGACAGAATTTGGACAGAAGTAAAAGCGGAAAAAAAGAAAAATGAAAGTCATTGGCTGGGGTGGCTCAGTGGTTAATGCATTGGCCTGTGCACCAAAGGATTATGGGTTCAATTCTAATCAAAGGCATGTACCTGGGTTGCAGGTTCTTTCCCCATTCCTACTAGGGATGCTCCCTATTCAATGTCTCTCTCATATCGATGTTTCTCTCTCCCCTTACCTTCCTACCTTCTGCCCTCTGAAAACTCAGAGAGAAGGAGAGAGAGAGAGAGAGAGAGAGAGAGAGAGAGAGAGAGAGAGAGGGAGAAAACACAAGAGAAAATGGACATTTAAAAGAAATGTAAGGGTCACAGACTAGAAATGAAAAATAAAACAATGTAAGTGAAGAAAAAATATTAGAGAAATGATAGCTAGAGAAAGCAGGCAATGGAGATCCAAAATATTTGTAACTGGAGCCCTCAAATAAAATCAAAAGAACAGACTGGAACAAAAAATAAGGATATAATTCCAGACCGCTTTCCTAAAGTAACAGGAGCTTTGACACTACATATTGAAAGTGCCAGAAAAAACTGACCCCGAATGGTCAGCATCAAAGCTTATCTAAGCAGGCAGGGGCCATGTGGGGGCTCAGTCCATCTGGATTTCCAGGTGACCTGATATATTCATAATTCTTTATACTTTTGGCCTTGTGTGTACCTCCTTCGGTGACCCCAGCATTTGGGGCAGAAACCTGGCGGGTTCCACGGGGAGGGGAGCCATCGCCCTGGCTTCGATCACCCCAGGTTTGCTAGGCAGCAGCAGCTTGACCTGGCTCACCTCCAAATCCTACTGAGTGACATGATTGTGGCCTTGATTAGGCCTCCCTCCCTTGCAGGCCCTCCCGAACCAGCCAAGGAGGTGGCCAGATCTGGGCCTCTCCTTCCCAGTACTGGTCCCACACTCAACACCAGCTCATTTCATCGCCGGTAAGTGACAACTGGGTCACCCCTCTAGATTTCCGATTTGCTATCTCAGACAAAAGACCTTAGCGCCAGGCCAGAAAGCCTCTCCAGTCCAGCCTCGGACCCTGGCGCCCACCACCTGGATAGACTCTTCCTTACTCCGGAGCCTGACTAGCTGGTGGGGACGCCCTCCCTCTAGTCTAGCTCCCTGGGTCTCCCTTTGTTTCTTACCTCCTCTTCCTAATTTACTCCACTGGAGTTCTTTTTCCATCTCTTCCTCCCCTACCACCTCTCCCTAAAAACCTCCTCTGGGATGTCTCCTCCATAATCTTAACACACTCAGCCTTTCCACGGAGGTCCGGCCAAAGCGCCTTATCCACAATCTCAATTACTCACATTGGCCCGAGAATGGAGCTTTCGATTTGAACATTCTCTGGGACTTAAATAGGAAGTAGTCAGAGATCCCCTGGGTCCAGGCCTTCTTTACAAGGCAAAATCATCCTCCTCTCTCAAACTAGCACTCCTTATCAAATCCTACTCCACCCAAAATCCTTCTGCCACCCCCCCCCCCTTACACCCTAAGGCTTCTGACTGTCCTCCAACCCACCAGGCCCTTCAGACCCTCCGGATCACTTCATTCTCCGCTCCCCTACAGTTCCCCCATACCCACCTCCTTATATCCTTCCTCCACATGCCACCCCCGCAAGAGGTGGCCAGGGCTAAGGGTACTATCCACATACCCATGTCACAGAGATTGAGAGATGCCTCGGACCTTTCTCACCAATCCAACCACCTTTACTAAGGAATTCGAGTACCTGACCCGCTCCCATGACCTGACACATCTATGTCATCCTGTCCGCCTCTCTGACCCCAGAGGAGAAGGAGCGCATTTGGCAAGCAGCTCAGGGCCACGCTGATGCCCTCCATAGACAGGTCATGCCAGCCAACCCGGTTGGCGCTGACTTGGTCCCCCACCCTAACCAGAGATGGAACCGTCAGGGCAATCCTCCAGGGCGCCGGCTTCATACTCATCTGATCATCTGTCTCAGTGCTAGACTAACTAAGCCTGCCCATGAGGCAGTGACCATGACAAACTTAATGAAATCACTCAAGGCCCTGGTGAAAACCCAGCCCTCTCCTCTCCCGCCTCAGGAAGGCCTTACAGGAATTTACCACTTTGGACCCCACCTCCCCAGAGGGAACCCTTCTCTGAACACCCATCTTATATCACCATCGGCCCCGACATGTGCCACAAACTTTGAAAAATAGACACAGGTCCACTAACCCCTCAAAACGAGCTCGTTAATCTGGCCTTTAAGGTCTTAATAATAGAGACGAGGAGACACAAATCCAAAAACAAAAGTGAGATCAGGACAAGGCTGAGGCCCAGAGGGAATCAGTTCCTATAATAGCCACTCTCTCCTGCAGTGCCAGTCCTCCAACCACGGAGAAGTCAGAGCTAAGCCCCCTTCGGCCCACGCCTCAGATGCAACAAGGAAGGGCACTTGGCCAAGTCCTGCCCAAAGTGCGGAAGGGAAGGCCACGGGAAATCAGACGGTAGTCTGGCTTCCAGACCTCCTGGGACTGGCCACCAGACCCTGACAAAGCCCCGTGGACTTATATCGTCAGGACAGAGCCTCGGGTAACGATTGTGGTGGCAGGTAAGCTGATCTCCTTTTTAGCCGACACTGAGCCATTAATTGTGTCCTCCCTGCATTCAGTCCCTTCCTCAGTCTCTACTATGGGGGTTGACGGACGAGTCTCACAGCCATTAGCCACACCTCACCGCTACACTGCATCTTACTGAATACTTCCTCCACCCACCCTTTCCTCGCTCTACCTCAGTGCCAACCAGGGCTGCCACGTATGCCCTCACAAAGCCCAGCTGTCCCGAACCACAGTCACCTACCTGGGTTTCACTCGCACCCCGGAAAGTCGAGCCATTTCCTTGGACCACAAACACCTTCTCTCCTCCACGACTGCCCCCTCCGCTAGAGGAGAAACACTCTCCTTCCTCGGGCTCGCTGCGCTCTTTCGCCTCTGGGCTCCCAGCTTCAGTCATCTCGCAAAGCCCCTCCATGGCGCAGTGAAGGGTCCCCCTCACTGTCACCACAGCAGGAAGCAGTCAAGAGATCCCCTAAGTCCAGGCCTTCTTTACTCCCACAATCATCCTCCTCTCTCAAACTTGCTCTCCTTATCAAATCCTACTCCACCCAAAACCTCCTTCTGCCACACACCCCCCATCCCTCCCCTTTACACCCTAAGGCTTCTGACTGTCCTCCAACCCGCCAGGCCCTTCAGACCCTCCCGATCACTTCATTCTCCGCTCCCCTACAGTTCCCCCAAGCCCACCTCCTTACATCGTTCCTCCGTATGCCTCCGCAAAGGACTTGACTCCATCCCTTTGTCCACCCCCTCCACCTCCTTACCAAGTCCCCCTTTCACTCCTTCTCAGACGGCCAGCATTCTCACCCCCTTTAATGCTCTCTCACCCGCCTGCCCTTCCCAAAGAACAGCTTTCTTTACTGCAAAACTGCAAATTCTTACTTAACAGTCCGGCTGTTATCAGAAGCTGGACTCATTATTACCCAAACCATAGCATGTTATCTCTAAGGAAAAATGTTATCTCTAAGGAAAAATGTGGTAGTTTTAATACAAGTGGCCAGAGGCCTGGGAACTACAGTTCTAGAACAAACAGGCTGCGGGGCCTGCTCCCCGCACCCCCTGGGCCTTTCTCCAGCCTGCTTTGCCCATTCCTAATTTCCCAAAGTCTTCCTTGGCATCCTAAAAGCTTTGGTGCATTGTTGGATTAAATGATAAACATCTAAATATTTCAACAAGGTTTAAGTTCACCTGATTTTAGCTTTTGTTACAGAAAATCTGTAAAGCAGATTTGGGACGGTGGATGTAATGTCTTACTGAGGTTGTGTTTCTTGAAAGTGAGAGTGTTCACAAATGTCAATCTAAGGGATGCTGGCTGTTTTGGTTACCATTGGAAAATTAAGGTTTCTAAGAGTTAAGAATTCTAATTAAATTGGAAAGAAAGTGTATCGTTTAGGTAATAAAAGGCAGAGGCATGGACAGGCATTTTGAGAGAAAAAGGAAATGAGTTAAAGTTGTAAGCAGTAAACCAAGACAAGTGGAATAGGAAACCGAGATAGTTAAACAGCAGTTTACAGCGTCTAGAAAACCCAGATGCCAGGCAGTCGGCAGCCATCTATTAAATTCTATCTTCCTGAACCAAGGACAAATGAAGCCAAGAGAATAAACCTCATTTTGGTAAATCAGACTACAACCCAAACTAATGTCTCTTTCCTTCCATCAGACTGTTTGCAATAATTCTTACTGTTCTAGCTTTTGCCCCAGTCATACTAAAATGTATAAAAGTTTGTCTCCACCAGGTTACAAGCCCTGCTTGTAACTCAGGAATACCACCCTAGACCTCACCATCCCTCTGACTCCCAGAGCAAGGACGATGGGCCAGGTACAGAAACTCACGGGGCAGAACGTTCTGGATGGCTAGCAAGGGGCAAACTGGGAAAACAAGAACCTTGCCCCAGGGTAACCTCCCCTCCCCTCGCTATCACTGGTCATGTGGTTGGACCTCAGATCTTTCATCTCACTAGTGAGGCAGCTTAGACCCCTGATCTCTTCCTCCCTGAAGATAACATGGAGGCCTCAGTTGTATTTCAGATCCAGGTGCAGAAAAGCAGCAAAACCAGACAAGTTGACACTGTGGCAGCCTCAGGACCAGCTTTTCCCTCTCAAGTCACTCAACAGGATGGCTTTTGGGCCTTCATTAACCAGTCTCTTGGGGAAATCATGCTACTGCAACCCCTCGCTCCAACCATGAGAAATCTACCCAGGGTTCCAGCCAACTACAATCGAAGTCCATCCCCCTCAGCAGGAAGTACCGTAACTGCAGAAGATATGCCTTCCTCCCTATTCCATAAAACAAAAAGGCTGGAATGTTAGGTCTGATCAAGCGATCGAATGGATATTCGATTATATTCCTTCCCTGGCAACTGACCTTTAAATCATTTCACAGCAGACATTCCCTTTCCCTAAGACTGCATGCCACTTGCTAAGACCATTAGCTGTCCCCTCAGGACCCGCCCAGAGAACTATCTGCCCAGAAAAAGCCTGCCTAAAGTCCTTTAAAATCTCTGACTCCCTGTCCCTGGCTACTGGCGCCAATTTGGGGCTCATCTCATCTGGATTTCCAGATGACCTAATAAATTCATAATTCTTTACCACCACCACCCCCCAAAAAACAAAAACACATATCTAAGTAAAGTTACTGAATATCAAAGATAAAGAATCCACAAGACAGGCAAAAGATCAAGATACTGATAAGAAGAAAAAGACTGGTCAGATTTTTTCACTGCCACATTCAGTATCAGAAAAAGAAAAACCATAAAAATCCTACAAGACTCCATAGGCAGCAAAATAGCAGGCATATGTTGCAGCAATCTTTATCGACACAGCTCCTAGGGCAATAGAGACTTTGGAGTGGGGTCACAGAGGACTTTGACCTTGCACTTTAACAATTCTATGTAATCGTGAGGTTTTGGGCCATTAAATCCTTTTTTGTACAATGGAAACAAACAAACAAAAACAACAGAATAATACGGACCCCAAATGGCTAGTAAAATAGGAAAGTATTCTACCTCAAGAATATTCAAGAAAATGCAAAAGTACCAGTGTTTTAGATAGTAGAAAAGTTTCCACCCAAACAAATAAGTAAATGGCTAGCATAAATGTGCTAGACATTTTTCTTGCCAACAGATCACCATCATCAGTAAAAGGCACAGCGACAGATGTTAAAAAGCTCCCATGTGTTAATGCTCCTCACTCTTCATTTCCAAACACAGCCATCATTTCCTGGACAAGACAGGAGGAAGTCCCAAAATCATGATAGGCCACAGCCTGGAAATTCCGATGGCTGTGATTAAGGAGCCAGGACCTTACCACTGGATGCAACCCAACAAGTCTATAAAATCGAACACATTTTGCTAAAAGATGCTAAGACCCAAGCAAGCCTAGACTGCAGGCATCAGTCTACTTGCTGACCGTAGCTGCTCTCGTCTGCACTCTGAGGAGCAGTGTGGAATCCAACACCACAGGAATTCCAACATCTCAGCAGGACTCTAGTCCAATTTATAACAGCTTGACCAAATAATAGCAATTCTGATCAAGATACCCAAAAATGAAATGTCTATCTCGCAGCCTAGAATTTTTAAAAAGAAACTACCCCTACGTAAAAATTTGATTATTCAAAAATACCAATATAATTGTTGTTATCACTGTAGTGACTCTACTGCAAAATTGTTGCACTCAACCAAGTTGGGTACTATATTTGCATGTGTCAACTTTCTAGTGGTCTTTGTGAGTAGAATATACTGTCTATAATACAAAGCAGTGATTCTAGAATATAATGCCTCATTATATAAATGGATCAAATTAGTAATTGTCACCATAAAGTTAAAATCTATTTTTTAAATTTATTTAGAACGTTGTCCTGATACCCCAAGGCTGAGGGGGTTTGATCCCCAGTCAGGACACATAGAAGAATCAACCAATGAATGTATAAACGAGTGGAACAACAAATCACTGTTTTTCTCTTTCTCTCCCTCTCTTTCTCTCTCTTCCCCCCTTCCTGTCTCTCTAAAATAAAATCAATTAAGTCTATAAAATAAAACTCAAATAAAAGTGAGAAGTCTCAGGGCTGCAATGTAATCTGAAAATGCCATATTTTCAAACTTTTCACGTGTTAGATACAAAGGGAAAATAATCCAGATATCTGGACCCTCTTTGGGCAGCTCTGCTGGCATCTAGGAAAATGGTCACACAGACTGACCTATAAGGAGACGGGATGAAGCAAAAGAAGATTCTCCCACGTTCAGTGTGATTTCTATTGCTTTGGTCAGAGCTTCCTTCATTAAAGGCGTTTTCCTTGTCTACACAAACTATCTACTGGATTCTCTTAGTCAGTGCACACGGATTCTCTTAGTCAATGCACACGTCGTATGTACCAGACACAATGCTAATCACTTTCCATTTATTATTTCATTTAACCTCACAACAACCCTAAGACAAACGTGTTTACTTCCATTTTAGAGATGAAGCAACTGATGATGCCCAGAGAGTTTAAGTAATTATCAGGGTCTGAGTCACATTGGCATACAGACCCAAACTCTTAACCCCTCCCCTCTGGCATGCTGATTGAGGCTTTTAAAAATATACAGACAAGGGCCTCTATATGAGACTTAGCTTAATTGCTATTAAGACAATTAAAAATTAGTAAATTCTTTTGATTCCTGGTTGTTGGGGCAACCCCATTGATGTTTCTCTGTCTCTCAACCTCTCTAAAAAAAAATCCAATCAATAAACATATCCTCTAGTGAGGATTTTTAAAAAATTATTAACTTCTACTCCTCATCACTTCCATTTCCATTATACAGAGAACACCCACACCCTCTCCACAGGGAAGACACAAAACCCAGATGAAGAACACGTCCCGGACAGAACCTGAGACAGCGGCGGCGGGCGAGGGGGTGGTGATGGAGGTGGGTACCTTTTCTGCAATGCCGTTTTCCGTTGTGTAGATCGCCATGAGCTCTGTGTCTTCATTGTCCTGTTCACCACTGGACGTGGCGCCTCCATTTATCACCACCTGAGGAGAAACACTCCACTTAAAGGCTGCTTCACAGCATTTCTCTCTGCAGTACAGAAACATCTCCCCCCAAAGTTGTTTGTAATCCTCATAAGAGACAAAAACTGTGATTTTTTTCCCCATCAATGTAGCCCAATTTCCGGTGTTCTTAAATCAAACTCCCAACAAGTGTGTGCTGCGTCAGTAACCACATGTGTGTTGTGAAAGAGGAGAAACATACCACGTGTCCTACAGAGGGAGGCTGTGTGAACAAGAGGGTCAGCTGAGAGAAACTCAAAATATAACATCCAAAGAAAGTAGAAAAACTGGGATCCCCAGCATTTGGCTGAGGGACAAAAGCTGTATTCTGAGCCAGGGAGAGGCATACTGAGCTGCCTTCCATGACAATGACTTCCAAGCGCCATCCCTATGGGAGGAAATGGGCTGGCAGCACCCTCACACTGTGCTCTCCTAACTTAGTAACCAACTCCTGTCATGCATGCCCTGGTGACACAGCCAACTTAGGTCCTGGCTGCCTGTCTTAAAAAATAATACTGAAAATAATTGTTCGTATGAATCAAACAACTACATTTTAAAAACTCAGAGAAGTATAAAAATGTTTAAATTCACTAACATAAAGGGTAGTGAAAGATGAGTGATGGCATAAGAGAAAATACGGTGCGACACCTCACCAAGGATCAGCATCAGAATTTCATAAAGAACACCTGCAGATCCATAATTCAAATAATCCAAAGGGAATGAGCACAGGGTAGGAGCATACAAATTCACAGAAAAAAAAAAAAATTGCTGAAACCAGTTTGGCTCAGTGGATAGAGCATCAGCCTGAGGACTAAAAAGGTCCCAGGTTCGATTCCGGTCATGTACCTTGGTTGCGGGCACATCACCAGTGGGGGTGTGCAGAAGGCGGCTGATCGATGATTCTCTCTCATTGCTGTTTCTAACTCTCTATCCCTCTCCCTTCCTCTCTGTAAAAAATCAATAAAATATATTTTTTTTTTAAAAATTAAGTGTGTCCCCACACACACACACAAATACAGAGAGCTGTAGAACCTCACTTAAAATTACAGAAATTACCATTAAAGTTCAATTTCGTTTTGTAGCATAAATTAGGGGGAAATTCTCAGAGGAGAATCCGGTGTTGAGCAGGGTGTGGGAGAAAAGTTCTTTAAGGAATGAGTAAGACTGTGTTCCTGATAGAATGGGCAACTTAGCTCCCTCTGTGACGGGAACCTAGCCCTGGACCTTAGAACAGGCATGTTCTGGGACCAGCAACTCTACTCACAGGAACCTCTCCGTCAAACACAGCCACCCAAGTGTATGTTCAAGGTTACGGTTGCAGCATTACTCAAAATACTGAGTACTTGGAAGCAACCTAAATGTTCATCAAAAAGACATTCTTAAATTAAGCTATATGCATTTCGAGAATAATATTCAGCCATTAAAAGAAAATTGATATACTGACAAGAACTCCAAGAAATACTGTTGTTGTTGTTTTTTTTAAAAAAAAAAAAAAAAAGGTTACAAAACAGCACACCTAGAATTACCCCAGTTGTGCTAGTAAAATAAAATAAAATAAAATAAAATAAAATAAAATAAAATAAAATAAAAATGTAATAACTTCCCTGTGTCTAAATGTTTCATAAAGGATCCAGTCACTAACCAGTATGAAGGCTTACCCAGGAGCAAGGAGTTAAGATGGGCACCTTTCATTTCTCACTCCCAACCATCCTTTTCAGCATTTGGATCTTTTATAATCGGTACACATTCATATGTTATTTGAATGCTATTTTTTTAAATGAATAATAAAAAAAGATGTACACCACAATATTAACAGCGGTTGTCTTTAACCAGTGGGACCATTTTTACCTTCTTGTTCCCTTTATATATGTTGGTAATTTTCTATAATGAGGACAAATAATTTTTACAACAGAAAGAAATTAGAAAGACTGAAGTGTTAATATAGCTTAGAAGTTCAGAGAGATTTAATCCACTTATTTTTGTGGTTGAATACGTAGGACCAAAGAAAAATTTAATTTCTCATTCAAGATCACACAGATTACAACCCTAGTCTGAAGCTAGTTTTAAAGTACGCCCAAGATCTCGATTAACTGGTACGTAATTCTTACAGGGCAAATTTTCTTTTCTTTCTTTCTTTCTTTCTTTCTTTCTTTCTTTCTTTCTTTTTTTAAATTCTTTTTTTATTTTAAAATAAATCTTTATTGTTCATATTGCAAATTTTCTTAAATCATTTCAAATAAAGAGATGCTTTTTTTATTGATCGATTTGAGAGAGGAAGAGAAAGAATGGAAGGGAGGAGAAAGGGAGAAAGAGAGAAAGAAACATCAAGCTGTTATTCCCACTTATTCATGCATTCATTTGATTCTTATATGTGACCTGACTGGGGATTGAACCCTCAACCTAGAGACAATGCTCTAAGGAACTGAGCTACCTGCCCAAGGCCAACGATTGCTTTTAAAACTAACTCTAAGACATGTTATGTCTTTTAAGAGAAGCCAACAGGGTCTGCAGCGTTTGCTTGCCTGTAAAACCAGCTGCCAGCAGGATACATGTTCCCAGACAAGTTTACGTCCACAAAACGAAGCTCTACCTTATTATCAGAGCCAGGCTCCAAATCCTCTCACAGCAGCCCTCAACCCAGTGAGAAGCCAAGAGGTACGTACACTCAGGATGAACTGTCTTAAAACAATAATGTTTAGAAACTAAATCATCAGAGAAGCCCAGATCTGACTGAACCCCTATCCTAACTAAAACTCCCCTTCACCCAGATTCATCCCCAGTGGCTGCAGGATGATCTTTTGGGGTGATGAAAATGTTTTCGAACTAGACAGAGGTGATGGTTCCGTAACATTGTGAATGTGCTCAATGTCACTGAACTCTTCACTTTTAAATTTCAATTTTGTGTGAATTTCACCTCAAAAAAAAGTTTAGCTGTGTATATATATCCTCTGATTTATTCCATTCCCACAATTAAGTGCTACAAGTAAATTGCAGACATTCCCCAGGCTATGGAAGGGCTCATATTTTCATTCAACAAACTGTGTTTGAGCGCCTGCTGTGCTCAGGCAATGAGGATGCAGTCCTGCCACATATCTGCACCCCCATCCCCCCCAGTGGGTACCAGGTTAATGGCACTCAGTGACTGAACACAGGATGCATTAGGGTGCCAGGAGGTAAAACACCAGCTTGTTTTACTACTATTTTTCCTTTGGTTTAAGTTAGCTATTCTGGTGGTCTACTCTCTTAAAAACATAAAATATAATTTAAAAAATAATGCTAAAATCAGTTCTTCAGGAAAGGCTTTGAGCTCTTTGTTTTTTAAAAGGATAAAAAATGTTTCTGATGCTATCAAAGCTTCACATGAGTTCAACTGGGAAATAAAACATGTCTTGGAAAGCTTTCTAAGCTTAATAAAACAGGTTTCCTTTTGTGTTATTAATAGCATCACAGATAACTGAAGGGAATCTTGGCATCTTCCATCTCAGGAAATTGATCAGGTTTTTATTAACAATATCCACAGATTATTTGAAAACCTTTTGGGAACAACATGTCCTTTCTCCCTCAAAATCATTTGAAACCAAACTTGTAGCACTAAATGCCCCTCCTAAAGTAATATTGCACGGTCACTCAATCAGCTATGACAGCACATTTTCTCTGCCCAAATTTGTCCGGTTGATTCTGCCTGTCTCCAATATGCAGGATTATGTTGCCTTTGGATACAGGAGTGTGCCAATTGCTCAATAAAAATCATGCCTTTATTGCTTTATTTCTACTAAGCTAAGGCAATAAAGCTTAGAGTATGTGTTCTGAATTGTAATCCTAAAACAGTCAAATGTACAAGAAACAGGACTGACAGCAGCAATTGTAAAGCTGTGTCATGCTGAATGTCATTTCACCGCAACGCCCATTTAACTGACAGTGGAATAAGCCTGAGTTACTCAAACAGAAGCCAAAGGGAATCAGTCGGCAGCTGCAGACACCTGTAAGGTGAAAAGTTCAAGTACCTGGGAAACCCTGAGCTTCTGATCAGAGGGTTCAGGACTCAATTAGCGTCTATCTTCTCTTTGGGATCTGATATAATTCACCCACCACTGTCATATGTCTAGTAGTTAACTGAACCATTTTATATAAAACAATCATGTTCAGAATAGTGATACAGTTCCTCAAACTGACTGCTTTCTATTCTTTAACACTATTCTTACCTCCCTACACACACACACACACATAATTTCCTCCATATCTATAATTAAAATGTGTTTTATATAGACTAGAGATATCAAGATTAGTGTTTCCCAATCTTTAACCCAAGTCCTTCAACTGAACTAAAAAATCTCCCACCTGCCTTCAATATTACCTGAAAATTCAAAATGAACTACCAGGAAAAGTAAATCAAAGTGAGTATAATATAGCATATGCTAAACCTCCAGAGCCTGTCAATCTTAGATGACAACCCAAAAAAAATGTAGCTGACAGGTCTAACATTACACTAGCAATCCTAAAGTTGGCGGAGGCGGCAAAAAAATAATCTTGTTCTCACTGCCTCTTCAAACATGGCAGCCCGCGGTGGACATGTGCAAGCAAGACCTCCGGGAGAAACCAATACTGCACCCAGAGCTCGGCCAATCCTGCACAGCACAGCTTCCTTCGCTTGTTCTCCCACCAGCCTCCTCCCTCCTCCGGCCTCCTCCAGAGGGCTCCCGGGCTGCAGCAGCCAGAGCACCTTCAGGGTTCCAGCTCGCCCCACCTGCTCCCCAGCACAATCTGCCCTTTGAAAAGAGCCAGAGGATGCCTGCCTCTCCCCATTCCTGGACCCTGTCCTGAAGGGCGGGGCGGGGGGATGAGCCTGTCACGGGCTCACAGTGAAACCCCTGTTGGTGCTCCTGCTCCCACACATCCCATGATGATGGTGAGAACTGACGTTTGCTGGCTCAGATTCACTGGCGCTGAACTGCCACTTCACCAGACATCTCCCCTTCAAGGTG